CACCTCTTTCAGGCGCATTTGGGTACAGTTCACGGGTGTGCACTCGAGTTCAGAAGACAGCATTTACACAAGCTAAACATACCAAACTCTGACATTAAACAAACCCGGGTGCAGACCAAATGTTTAAGTGTGAAAGCAACCTTAAGCATTCAGTTGTTAAAGCGTAAAATGAGATGAAAACCGTGTAACCGCTAGCGCCATCAGGATTAGCAGGCGAGCGCAGAAATTCTATTAAAAACAATTATAATTTAAAGACATGGTGTGGGAAAATGGAATTTAATGCACCGCTTTTTGTCCGGTATGAGACCCACTTTATATTTTATATCTATCAGGCAGTGAAGATCAGTGAATTTAAAGAAATCAAACCTTAAACATCGCAATTTTATAATGGAAAGACTATTAATAACTGGAAATGCTGAAGCTGGCTGACTGAAATTAGAAGTCTGTGTGCATGCATGTACCCTACTGTTTAAAATTATATAATGATCAACTCATCATCAAGCACATGCGTATCACGTATCTGATCTGCACAGATATTATTAGCCAGCCTCCATTCCATAAACATTATTTTTCAACATATACATATTTATGTGCCTTCACTGAAGTTAAAATGGCACATTAAACATCAAAGCGCAGCTGAAGACCACGCTACACTACTATTGGCACGGCATTGACAGAAAACAGCCTCGTACGAAACATAGCATGTCACTTCAAGGCCTGGCAATTAGAATACAAATGAACCCAGGATGAGGCAGAGGGGGAATAGATCAGCACTAATGGCTGAAGAAAAAGATCGATGCTTGGGCTGCTTTCCTCTGGGTGGATGGAGCGAGAACTGGACTCTTTCCATGGAAGAAAGGCTCACCAAGAGGAGAACATTACTCAAACCAAGCCCAAACTTTATGTCACCGATGATGCACAAAGTGTGTGTATGTGTGTGTTTGTATTTTCTCCTTCCCCTGACAGGAGAGTGATGAAGACAGACTAGCGCACAGGTTCATGAATGACCTTCATAAATATGTAAGCATCATCCCATGAGCCCAAGAGACTAGGGGACAACATCAAAGATCCAAAAGACCAACAGCATGAGGCGGTGGAGCCAACATCTGTCACAAGATAATGCAACTAAATTCAGAGAGAGGGTTCTCTGGCTGCAATATTTTTGCTGTGTGTGTGTGTGTGTGTGTGTGTGTATATACATATATATATATATATAAATGAGTGTAAATGAGTTGGTTTTGCATTCGTGTATGTGCATTGGGTTAACCAGATGTTCTGCTTTTTTCCAGGGACAGTCCTGTATTTTAGTGCACCGACTTATATATTATTCTTTTTTAAATAATTATTTATCCCGTATTTTACTTTTTTTCTAAAATTATCAAAATTACTGAGTGGCATGAGTATTGGTCACAATAAAAAACACTTATTGAACATTCAAGAGTTCACACTTAGCTGATGATTTATTATAAAGCTAGTTTGGCATGCTGTCCAGGGAGAGAGCCCTAAGCTCATAAGATCCTCGAGCCCGGGGCTCCCTCCCGTTCTCGCAAGGCAAGAGGGGAGTTTGAGCTCAGGTAGATAGTAGTTGCTATTTAAAGAGCCCATATTATACATGCAATAGGGTCATATTTTGGTTGTAAGGGTCTCCAACAACAGTCTAATATGCATGCAAGGACAAAAAACACTTTCATTATCTTGTAATCTGCATTTATTTTTACCTAATTATCCCAGCGACTCCCATATGAATCGTTTAGTGATTCATTTGTTCCCTAACCCCTCCTAAGTGCGAAGCTAATCTGCGCTGATTGGACCGATGACAGCCTGTTGTGATTGGTCAATACTGACTGCCTTCAGCACGAGACAGAGTGAAATGCCCAGCAGCTAATCAACAATATAAAAGTAGTCACACTCACACACACACACACACACACACACACACACACACACACACACACAATCCTCCTCCTTGGACCACACCGCGTGTGCGCACACACACACACACACACACACACACACACACACACATACACACACACACATTACCCTCCTCCTTGGACAACAGCGCGCACACACACACACACACACACACACACACATACACTAGCCTCCTCCACTGAGGTCCGTAAACAAAGCGGCACGCGTCATTTGGAAGCTAGAGTAAACGAGGCAACAACTTTAATCGCATGTACTTACACTTGAGAAATGGAGGAAGAAACCGATCCAGGTTCTGACATAGTCCATAAGTACTCTTTACTGATCCTTCCTTTAACAAACTGCCGATGAAGTATTCTTTGTAGCATGTAGTTTCCAGAGGCACTCAAACTGCTCAAGGCTGGGTAGATCTTTGGGTAGAGACTCAATAATATCCATCTGTGTGTGTGTGTGTGTGTGTGTGTGTGTGTGTGTGTGTGTGTGTGTGTGTGTGTGTGTGTGTGTGTGTGTGTGTGTGTGTGTGTGTGTGTGTGTGTGTGACTTTTTCTGAGTTAGAGGGCGGGGCCGCAGGTTTCAAATCTCCCGAGTTTGCGCGCGTAACTACTTGGTTTCGTTGTCACATCACGGCGAAACACCTAATGACTCGTTATCAAGACGGCTCGTTTGAAGCACTGTGAGTCGACTCTTTTATAGATGAATCAACAGTTTTAAACACTGTACACTTATAGATTTAAGCCTTAGCTGGATATTTCACTTCACTTAGAGCTGTGTTACACACTATATGGAAGGGCATTTTCAAAAACCCATAATATGGGTAGTACTTGGTAGAAGCATGTCTATGGTGTTGATTTAAGTTAGTCAATAAACTTAGGTTGCATGTTTTTGGACGGTGGGAGGAAACCAGGGAACCCAGGGAAAACCCACGTGAGCACAGGGAGAACGTGCAAACTCCGCACAGAAACGTTAGCTGGTTTGGTAAAGACTGGAACCAGAGATGTTCTTGCTGTGTGGCAACAGTGCTAAGCACTGGGCCACCGTGCCACCCATCTAGGAAGGAGGAGGAGAAGAAGGAGTGGAAGGGGGGGATTCCTCAAAAACGAAGATAGCTGTGATACGTAACCTAGGGTACTTATAGCAGCTTAGGAATCATCTGATTGGTGCATTGTAAATTGGATAAGGCGGGTCCAGTCACATACAATAATAAGCACGTGATCCTCTCAAAATTAGATTTTGAATAAACTTCACTTAGAAGATACAGTATGTTGAAACAAACAGTACAAATTTCTGAAATGTATCAATGTACCTCATCTATATACCCACTAATAACAGCTCTGGTTAACATGTGCACTGTATAGACTATATACAATATAAATGTGCAACTTTTATATATTATTTACAACATTTGACACACTAGTTAACATTTAACACTGGGTAATGCTCAGGAAGAGATCCCACCATATGTCACACAGTGTGTCAGTTCTGGGAAATCTAATTTTTGTGGTTTGTGGTCTTGAATGCCCTGTAATATACAGTACATCGATTGATGCTTGTTTATAAGGAGTCACCTTACTAGACCACTGGGTGTCACCATTTTCAGATAAGCAATATTTAGTGCCACTACCTGTGCAAAGCCTAAGAGGAAATGAAATCTATTATGTCAGTACTTCTTTCCTGAAGCAATACTAATACCAAGGTTGTTTTCAAAAATGTAGTGTGACAAAACATATTTGGAGGCAAAAAAATACAGTTTTGCCCCAACTTACTCCATTAACCCCTTAATTTAACTATCAAAAATGAATACAGTTAATTTACTCACCCTCAGGCCATCAGCGATGAAAAGGTTCTTTAGTAGAATATTTAAGAAGTATTTAGCTGAAGCCGTGGTCATAGGTGATGCTTAAAATTCTAGTCAATGGCACTTTAAGAGAGAGAAAAAAACAAGAAAAAAAAGACAAAACTAAATTAAAACCGGTGGCTGATACATTGAGGTATTTCATTTATTCATTCATCTTTCTTCAGCTTAGTCCCTTTATTTATCAGGGGTCACCAGAGCGGAATGAACCGCCAACTTATCCGACATATGTTTTACGCAGTGGATGCCCTTAAAGCTGCAACCCAGCACTGGGAAACACTCAATGTGATGACTAGTGCTCAAATTTCAACATGATTTGACAGATTCCTATCCATCTTTTTATTCGGACCCATGATGCTTGCATGACTTATAGGAGTAACTTCCATTAAACTAAACAATCATTGACAAGTTAATAAAAAAATAATAATAAATAAATAAAAAAACAATTGGGTAAATTAAAGTGTAATTATTCTTCTTTGAGTTCATACATCGAAAAGCAACTCATTAGAAGAATTGAAAAATTATTTTAGCAGACCAAAAAAACATACAATTTAAATGAGATGATAGGCTATAAAGGTCATGTTAAAATCAATTTGTCAGGTTTAAATCAACCAAATTGTTGTATCATGTTTGAATTACTTGCAGTTTATGTAACCTTTATTTGAACATTTTATAGTTTTGTTGAGATTCCCCAAGCCAAAAACGCAACACATAACTGAATGCAGTCACGTGCTAAAAAGGGTGATTAACTATATGACATATCTAGATAAACATAACTAAATAAAACTGGGCAAACACGTTTTAAGTTAAAATGTGTTAACTTAAGTCACTTTGAAATATTCTTCGGAAAAGCAGTTAACATTTAAGTTTTAAATTCACCATTGCTTGCTAAATGACAATTTCAAAGCCAGCCTGTGAACAATGATAAACACTGGGTTTCCGGTTTTACAGCAATCAAACCAGGTAACGCTATACGATTTCCAGGTAGGCTAGGTGTCGTGCAGCGAAAATGCGACGCACAATGAACGAATGTTGTTTGTGTTTTTCATTAGGCGTCATTTAGCGTCAGACCTTTGGACTAGAAGCTTCTTATCGCTGCAGGTGTCCCGCTGGAGAGGACCGACGAGGTCACGCGCGCGCGCACACACACACATTCCAGCTGAACTACACGCTCCGCGATCAGAGTAGCAATGAGAGAGAAGACCACACCTCCGAGCGGAGGGCAAAAGTCCGGACTGAACGAGCGCTGCACCTGCATCGCCATTCGCAGTGACAACCTGATATGTTCGGGATTACAGTGCCAGACTTGCATTAAACTTGATGTCTGTTTTAGCTGAGCGCGTTTCTTCTGTCAGACGGATCGGCGGTGTGTTTCTTTCTGTGTGGTTTTCTGGCTGATATTGTTCGGGATGGTGTTCCTCCTGCCAGCGCATCACAGGTAAGAACGGACCGTTCTGTTTGCACGTCTCCGTCCTCCCTTAAACATAAATTTAACAGAAGTGGTTGTTTAAATAGGATATTTGAATAGAAATATGTTTGTTATGAGTTATAAGACACAAGAATACCCAGAGTTTTTACAGAGAGCCCAGGGAGAGGTAAACTTTACTTTACTGGAGTTTGAGGATTAAAAATATTAAAGGCTAAAATCTTTACATTTTATTTCTGGACATGCATATCATATATGCAAATTTTAAGATTTTTAAGTCAATTAATTGCTCAGATCTGTTTATAAGCATCTAAATCCAAAGGGTAAATTTGATTAAAAATGTTATTAAAATGCTGCATGTCAAATAGCAACATTGTCTGCAGGGATTCATGTATTAATAAATTAAGCAAACAATCACACCTGAGTGCTGATAGTGTACAGCAGCACTGAGATTGTAGTGCTGTTTATTATCATAGGCAGAATTTCAACGTTGTTGTTTTTCTGCCAAGGAAGTTCCTTAATTCATGTGATACAAACAGAAACAGAAGTGATGTTATACAGAATATCAGCACTCAAAGCATTATAACTAACCTTCAAGTAGCTTCTCTTGTAAACTGAATATAAAATTTTTACCACATTAAAACTATTATAAATTATGAAACAGTAATATATTAATATTTCTTAATAGTTTCAGCTGTGTTAAAAGCAAGTACAGCACATTTCCTGCAACTGCATGCAAAACTTTACCAGCTAACATTAATTATTAACCATATATATCTCTTATAATTCAAATGCATTTACCTTTTAACATTACAATCAGATTTTTTTAATTAATATTTAATACATTTTAACATTACTCTTATTACCATAGTAATACTAATGGACATCATGTATCCATGTATTTCTTAGAGTTGTTTAAAAACAACCGGAAAGTGTCAGGACAACATACAGTGCTCAGCATATATATTTTACATTCATACTTTTATTAGGAAGCTATGCAATATTATATTTGTGCATATACAAAAGATTAGTCAGTACTGAAGCCAAATCTGGAGCTTAACTAACAAAAAAGCCCACGACAATAGTCCAAAATTAGTACACCCAAATTTGTTATTGAAAAAATATTAAATACAAATTTTTAAAAAAAGAGTAAAAATCGAGAAAAACAACAAAAAAGAAGAATTTATTTTAATTATTTGATTATTATAATTTCTAAATATGTTTGGTGACTAAAATATCATTTTATTAAATATCTGTTTAATAAACCTGTTTTGTTTAAATGCACTAAAATACATTGCCTATATTCACTGAGAAATGGATAAAAATATTAATTTTCAAAATAGGTTGTACTCAGTTATGCTGAGCACTGTAACTGTTAACATATATGTATTATTTTACAAAACAAATATGTCCAACATACTAGAGGTTGAGAATGAGGAAGTTCTAAAATTATCAGATAACACAGATAATCCAGTCTATGTTAGTGTTATTGTGGTTTAAACATTAAGGGTAAGTAAAATCCCACAAAAAAGAAACAGTTCTATAGCAAACTAAGGTAGTGTCTCCCTTCTGTATGGTTAATCTTGTTCTGTATCAAAAAATAAAAGAAATAAAAGCAAATTATTTTAATGCTGTAGGTGCCCTTTCTGTGCAGAGTGCGAACTGTGCTTTACAGTGACAGTGTAATAGTTTAGTGAGAAAAAGATAGTAATTAATCTTGGTAACCCTTTTTACACCATTGAACCATTGTTAATATGGTCTACCTGCTGCACTGAAGCTGGAGGTGTTGATGAAATGTCACATCATGGACAGAAAATTTAAGTTTTATGATGTTTTATTTTATTGTTAGGCGTGTAACCGTTGTCAACCAGTAAAATCAAATGCTTCCAGGAGCCAAACGATCAACACACTTTCCCTGATACTTTCGTCAGACATCCCTTATAAGCTACAGCATTGACAGGTGCATGACAGCACTCAGTAACATTGAAACATCCCATGAGTCTACATTCTGGAATATTCTGTGGCTGACACTGAGATAGCCAATGTGTTTCAGAATGAAACCATGCCCCAAGAAAGTGGAAAAAAAGCAGGTTCGGGTGTCTTAACCCAGGCTGGTGTCTGTGTCACAGATGGAGGTCAGGTCAGAGAGTGGAGCTCAGCGGCCAAGCTGGTTCATTTCCCAAATAATGACGTAGCTGCTTAACCACCATAGTACTCTGCGATGCATTATTCGAGAAACTAATTACCTATGACGCCTACGATAACTTCTAATACTCTCAAACACCCATTCTCCGATGGATAACTTGTTAATTGCAAATTTTGAGGTAAGAATAATGTCAAACTCTGTAAATAAGGGTTCTGCCTTGTTATACAGCATGTACAGTAATGCGAATTGCTCAAAAAGTCTGCATTAATTCACCCCACAAACAAAAATACATATGAAATTTGAATAGATGTGCAATATATAGATGCATTATTTGCATGCATTATTTCTCCCATGTCATTTTACTAAGCTTCAGACCACAGGTCAAGAGCTGCAGATCCAACTAAACAAGTTTGCGAATGTTTACTGGAAACACACAACCCTGAAGGAACTTGTGACCTTGCAATGCTTTTGGGAAAAGAACCCCTGAATAGCTGGCTTTTTGTGTTGCATTATGGGTTATGTTCACATTTCTGCTGTCCTAGAGGTCAGATCTGAACATGGTGGAAGCTGTCACTGTTTTAAGAATGAAAGGAAGAGAGGTAGGCAGGAAGAGAGGTGAATGTTTTTTCCTTCTGTCAGCAGCATAGTGCTGGGTGGACAGGCCTGTTAATTGGTGATTTAATTAGTGCTTAATACTGCAGCTGTGCACAAAACAGAAAAATCAAGAACTGCACAGCAGTAAATACAGAGCATCATATACCTTACCAGACAAAATAGCACCCTTAAGGTTGCAATACACAACACTTTGGTTGGTTACAAAGAAAAATGGGTGTCATAAACTAAACAACTGACAATGACACACTAACAGACTTATTGTCCTAACACATGTGGAAACATGCACCTTGTTGCTAGGAGACCCATGACAAATGAAAACAATATGTTTTCTATAATAGGCTTGAAATATCAAGCACGTTTGTTATTCTCAGACTGGGTGAAATCATAAGCTTTGTCTGATTTCCAAGGCTACACCTGCGGAGGTCATATTTGTCATTCGCATACATCATTTAGCTGCCTCATTTAAGAAAAGAAATTGTTGCACTGGAAAAAAGGAAATTACAGTAATTTACACCTTACACGAATTCACACTTAGTTATGCTTTCTCCCTTTCTCAAATAAGACACACTTGATGACATATAGGACCAAAAAAGGTGACCTCCGGAGGACACAGCCTTCTAAATGAGACGCAGCAACAGTAGAAACTGGAGTCTGCGCTTCTCATGCACTGTGAAATTTTCTGCGAAATCTGTCAACTTGCGGCTGGAATAAACTAGATAACTTTTGCATAGATTGTTGCCCCAATTTGCAGTCTGGACGAGTCAAAGCTATTTGCCTAGTCAGATCCTGTCTGCAGATTTTAGGCAGTCAGAGTTGACAGATTTCACAGAAATTTGTGTAGTGTATGGGCACAGACATTTTTTAGGCTCCAAACTTTTATTTCATCCAGATGGAGCATATCAGACAAGGAGGTTAAGCTAAGGAGGACACTTCTGTGCACGTTTGTTGTTTTCCATTGCTATCTGATGGTGTGATTCTGAGTTGTTTAATGATACCAAGATTGTAGAGAGTCAGTAAATGTACAGTATGATGACGGGAGTTTTAAAATCAGTCATGTGTTGTGTCATCCAGCTTTTATACCAGTGGCAAAGCTACAGTAATGTACAAAAGGGGCAGGGTGGCACTGGTACAACCAGATAAGATTGTATTGTAAGATTGGGTAAAATTAGAAAATGAAATTAAATAACTTAACATTTTTTACAGCGTACACTCCCAGAAATAAAGGTACAGGAGCTGTCACTGGGGCAGTATCTTTTCAAAATACCTGAACGGTCCATAAAAATACTTCAAAGGTACTTTTTAGGTATATTTGGGCACTAATATGCACCTTTTAGGTACCACTGGGGACTTTTTGGGTACAATACAATAATACAATTGTATTGAGTACACTAATACCTTTTAAAAATGTACTGCCCCAGTGACAGCTCCTGTACCTTAATTTCTGACAGTGTAACTGCTGGTGCATGAGTAAATCCAAGAGCTCTCAATCTGATTTTTTTGTCAATTCTGATCATTGTTAAACACCCTCTGGTTGTTTTTTTATTCATCTTCCCATATCCATCATTAATCAAATTAGAAAATATTTAAACTACCCTTAGCTATTTAAATGAATTCATTCTAATTTACATGGTAACATATTCATTCATTCATTCTACTTCTGCTGCTTTTCCGGGGCCGGGTCGCGGGGGCAGCAGTCTTAGGAGAGATCCCCAGACTTCCCTTTCCCTAGACACTTCCTCCAGCTCCTCCAGGGGGATCCCAAGGCATTACCAGGCCAGCCGAGAGACATAGTCCCTCCAGCGTGTCCTGGGTCTTCCTCGAGGCCTCCTCTCGGGACATGCCTGGAACACCTCCCTAGGTAGGCATCCAGGAGGCATCCGAAACAGATGCCCGAGCCACCTCAGCTGACTTCTCTCGATGTGGAGGAGCAGCGGCTCTACTCGGAGCTCCTCCCGGGTGTCAGAGCTCCTCACCCTATCCATAAAGGTGCGCCCTGCCACCCTTCGAAGGAAACTCATTTCGGCCGCTTGTGTCCGAGATCTTGTCCTTTCGATCATGACGCAAAGCTCATGAACCATGGGTGAGAATAGGAACGTAGATTGACCGGTAAATCGAGAGCTTTGCCTTTCGTCTGAGCTCCTTCTTCACCACAACGGACCGGTACATCGACCGCATTGCTGCTGCCACTGCATGCACCAGTTCGCCTGTCAATCTCATGTTCCATCCTTCCCTTACTCGTAAACAAAACCCA